TTTATATGCACTATTACAATTAGTAAAATTAATTGTAACTATCAACAAATATAATAAATCTAATTTATAACCTACAACTACTATGAAACTAAAAAATATATAGAAACTCTAATTTATGAAGTTCAACTACTAATAAACTAATTAATTATGTTCTAATTAGCAAATTAATTCATAACACTCCCTGGAAAGCCAAGAACTTAAATGGAGATGAATTTATAAAATTAAATGCAGAAGCGATTAATAGAGTTAGAGTTTATATTTCTTACACAATAATTTAAAATGCACAATTGAGTTACGAGAATGTCTCTTTTAAAAAATAAATAGTAATTAAAGAAATGAAAAGAAGATCGAATACAAAAGTGCACTAGGACAATCTTCATTAGCACTTAAAGGGAGTTCGGGTGATGAACTACTCATAACCCTCTTGCTGATCGGAATTTGGATCTTGATCCTCTTGATATGAAGAAGTTAATGAAAAGGTGAGCTACACTAACCCAGTAAGAATATCACATTAATCATAGATACGAAAAACTGAATATTGGTAAAAATTAGAAAAATAACTAATGGAGCTCTTGCTTTATTTAAATATCTTTAAACTTGAAAATGTTTGTTTGATACTTACAGTAACGAATTTTTCAAAAATAACCTATGAAAACTCATATCAATATCACTTTTTACTTTCACGCATATGAGAATAAGAGACAATAACTTTCCTTTCTTATATGTTTACTGATACCCCTAGGGGTCTCCCTTACCCGTGAACCTAATATCTAATTTTATGATTAACCGATCGTCCTCATACCCTGTCTAGTAATGGGCGCCAAACATTCTATCGCCTCGATACCTCGTCCGGTATGAGCGTGAACTATATCTCCAAAACTTTTCTAGTAAAGAACTTCTCAACCCCATCCAACTGAGATAATTTTCACGGTAGGGTTCCCTATATACTGGGCCTGTTCGTCATTCCTTGGGTAACTAGTAAGTCTTTCACATATAGATTTTCATCAACAAACAACCAACAAAATACATACTAATATCTTATATTACATTTACAGATCAATTAAACTATATTCATGCCGACAGTATATAACCAAAATGACCAGCTAAGTCAACAAGACCATTGAAACTATAAATTAAAAGCATGTACTATATGAAAATTAAGCAAATAGGACAGTACAGGAAAATAAACAGGAAATCAAGACAATTATAAATTAACAGGTTCCAGCTCCACTAGCGATCTGTAATTATTTTTAAGTTTTTCTAAATTTTTACAAAAATACAAAATTATACATTGTTAAACCCCAATTTACCATAATAGAGAATAAAGTGAAGGATCCTTACCCGGATTGGTGTTTCAGGACATTGAACTGTTTATCACACCTCTTAACGAGTACCAGA